GAAAATCTGAGTTGAAGGACTCAACTTACTTAACAGGTGCAGGTGGAACACCTATCCAAGAGTATGGAAAGGCTATGTTCAATATTAAGCTGGAATCATATGAAACAAAGGCAGAAGCTATAGTGGCCAACATCGAAGATGATGTCCTGCTAGGGTACGATATGTTGAGTGGTCAAGGTGGCAGGTCAGCAGAGCTTCTTTTGAGTAAAAATGTTATTTCTCTGAATGATGTTGAAATTCCTTGTTTCCCAATCAGAAAAGGCAGTAAAGTAAAACAGGTGTCAGTAGCACAGGATATTGAAGTGCCAGGAAAAACTGAAACGCTTGTTGATGTCTATTTCAATCGAATAGAAGCAGATGATTATGATACACAAGCAGAATACCTTATTGAACCTTTAGAGAATTTTACAAACAGATATCAGCTTGTAATGGCAGCAACACTTGTAGATATTAACCGAGCAACAACATGCAAAATCAGGGTACTTAACCCATCTAATTACTCCATCAAACTGAAACAAGATGCAGGGATTGCTAAAGCTGAGAAGGTTGATTCTGTGTTGAATACTGTAGCTGAAACTGAAAATCCTGATGAGACAGTAAATCTTAACCGAATAAGAAAAAGTTGACAGCATGCCAAGAAAGATGAGCCATATAAAGTTGCCTTTTGAGCCATCGACAGAAGATAAAATTCAAGAACATCTGAAAGTGAAAAGCAAGCTATAGCTAGATTACTTGTTAAGTATAATGATATCTTTTCGGAAAATGAATGGGACATTGGACTCACCCACCTAAATGAACATGCAATTGATACTGGAGACGCGAAACCAATCAGACAGAGACCAAGGCGGGTCCCTCTTGCTTTTGCCAATAATGAAAAACAAGCAATTGAAGATCTTCTCAAGAAGGGTGTCATCCAGAAAAGCACCTCACCTTGGTTAGTCCAATTGTTCTTGTGCGAAAGAAATCTGGCGCTGTAAGACCGTGCGTAGACTATCGCAAGGTAAATAGTCTAATTAAGCAAGATGAATTTCCTTTGCCGAGAATACAAGACTGTCTGGATGATGTATGGGGTTCGAGCTTCTTTAGTAGTTTCGTTTTAACTAGTGGATATTTCCAGATACCGCTAAGAAAAGGAGATAGAGTTCTTTCGTGTGTAAATATGGCCAGTTTGAGATGACGCGTATGCCTTTCGGTCTATCGAACTCTGCAAGCACATTTCAACGAACTATGGATTAGCTCTGCAAGGTTTACAGTGGCTTACATGCCTTGTATATATTGATGATATCATTGTTTTTGCAGCTGATTTCAATGAGCATCTGTATAATGTTAATGAAGTCCTTGAAAGAATATGAAAGTCTGGCTTGAAGCTAAAGCCTGAAAAATGTCAACTTCTTCAGACCGAAGTAGTCTTTTTGGGGTATGTAGTGTCAAGAAAAGGTGTTAGTCCTGATCCGACAAATATCGCCAAAATAATTCAATGGTCAATGCCTCAAAATGCAAAGCAGGTTAAGCAATTTGTTGCGACCGGTTCGTACTACAGGCGATTTGTGAAGGATTTCGCAAGGATTGTTCGACTATTGATAGAACTGACTGAGAAAGATAAAGTTTTCAAATGGGACTCAGCTTGTGAAGCGGCATTCTGTGAAGTAAAGCGAATATTGACGAGTCCACAAATAATGGGTTATCCACTGAATGACGGCGGTACCTTTTATTTAGACGTTGACGCGTCGGGTTTCGGTCTTGAGGGAATACTTCATCAAGAACAAGGAAGTCGCGAGCGCGTGATTTCGTATGCAAGTAGATCCATGAATAAAGCTGAACGTAATTACTGTGTAACAGAACAAGAGTTGTTAGCTGTAGTATTTTTCGTACAATATTTTAGGCAGTATCTTCTTGGTCGTAGATTTGTAGTTAGAAGTGATCATAAAGCACTAACCTGGCTTTTTAGTTTACAAAAACCAAATGGCAAGATCGCAAGATGGATTGAGATATTGGCATCGTACGATTTTGTTATCCAATACCGTCCAGGAAAGCAACAGGGACATTGCGATGCTTTATCAAGATGCGAAAACCCTAGAGACTGTACCTGCAATGAGTGAACCTCTTAAATGTGGCCCTTGTCAAAAATGCAGAAGAAGAGCTGAGATTATGTCGCTTAAGCCTAATCCTTACATCTCTGATCAGAAAGACGACATAAGTAAACAAGCGCTCAGTCTTGATCAGAACTTCAGAGGCAAAACCCCGTTTTGTTGAGTTACGAATTTGAGCGGAAAAATTTATAAGTGCCGTCTGCAATTTTACGTACTAAAGTAATTAAACTATTCTTGATAAATAACGATTTATTTATTCACATTAAACAGTCCTGAGCTATTTTCTAGATATTTAATCTTTATTTACACCTTTTTTATTACACTTTACTGTTTGAAATAGACTATTTAACTGCTTGTTAAATTTGGTCACTGTTCACTGGTACGCTATTTTTCCGTGTTGACTATTAAAGAAGGTACACGCGTTAGACATTAAGATACATTAAATTAAAGGAGATAATTATAATTTAGAAAACGATTTTAATATAAATAGGACTTGAAACTCTGATGATTTCTACTACAAACTTTTACTTATTAATACATTATCGTATAGAATCTGTTGCTGAATGATAAAAATACAATTGTGCTCATTTGTTGGTCAACAATTTATTATTTTGTTATTGTAACTTTGTTATTAACAAAATAAACTTGCAATATACTACTGGAATAAACAGTGTTTAAATGTTACAGATAATTTATTTATCTATGTAGAGCTAGTGTTCCGTTAAAATTAAAGGTGAGCAAAGTAGATATAAAATAGTAATCACTATAGAAGTAAACTGTGTGGAATCAACCAACTCCCCTTACAGACTACGTAAATAAACCTCTACTGAGAGACCACACTACCGAAGGTTTTTACCTCACGGCCTAGACCGTGACAATATCATTGAACAGAAAACCTATTTTGAATGATGCCTGCTTTTTACGGCTCTAATGCTACCGCTTCATTTTTACGCACTATTCACAACAGTATTACAAGTAAGTTAACTACTAAGTCCTGATTAATATAGTTTAACGAAACGTTTAGAGTACTTTACCGTTTCATCACAGGACTGATGCAGCAATGATTGCATACTTAACAAAATAAATGCATATATTTCTATCTCGGGTCTGTAGCTTATGATCATACAATAACTGAAATTGGCATTATATAAACTATGATATCGCACACTTCAAAAGTTTAAACAAATCAGCTGTAATTGCTTTCTTTCAATCTGCCTTGACGTTCACATAAGAACTGTAGCAAACCAAACTCTTAATTTTAAAGTAATATATATTTATTGCATCACCATAAAGATACAATATCGATTGTATGGATATCAATATGTCTAAGTGGATTTTACAATCATTGTATTTGTCCAGATGCAACTTTTTCCATATTAGTGCCATGTTTTAGGTTGTAAAATTATTTGTACAGAACGCTTGTATTTACTCAGAATTTTTGATTGAAAGGGAAAACATGAATTTTATAACATTGAAGTAATGGTAATGTAAGAGGCTTGTGACATAAAAATCGCGATATATGTGAGATAATTTGTCAAAGAGGTAGAAGAATGGGAACAATACAGTATTTTGATTTCCATACAAAATACTTCATTACTTTAATTGTACTAACTGCCAAAAAGCAACAGAAGAAAAATATATATCACGCAATAGCCCAATGATTTTTGTTTTTGTTTTTGAATATAATAAAGGACACCAAAACTAAAAAGATTTTGAGAAATTAAAATACAAATGTAAAAGCATTTCTGGGGGATAATGAGCATTGAGAAGCAAAATGACACCTTTTGTTGATCGGATGTACAAACCGTCATAAAAAATATATTAGGAGCATTCCAGTGCTTTAGACACGTATTGTCATCTATATTTATGGTGCAGATCTTATGTCACATGCTTTTAAGCAAAGTGTTTAACCATTTCCATGTCGTCAAATATTCGATTGTCTTGTCTTTTCCTCTAATATGTTTACTTCCGTTTAGAAATATGAAGCGAGCCCTAAATGTCCTTTGTCGTTCATATTCTCAATACACGCACCTGCTTATAGATAGACATTCAAATAATCATTGAACATTATAGAAATGTTATATATTTTGTACACTTCAAAATTTACGACATCATACGAGCTTAGAATGAATGCTTTAGGAGTTTAGTATGCTACATTGGAAACAGACTCGTAAATAATTCTTCACTATATTATTTGTTACTATAGCACAACTATCTTTTGAAAAAACGATGTTCAAAAATCATTACAGCAATAACAATTCATGTACAAATAGCACTTTTTTCCAAATTAAATGAAATGGTTTTCAATGTCTTCTATCCTTTTGAAATACCTTATAAGACACATTCACATAGTTTAAATTTTGTTTCTGAAATGTATTCTTGTTATCATTTTTATAGCATTATAGCAATAAATTAACGTTACTCCCGGCACGCTGTTTTGAAGAAAGCTTGATAATTATATGATGCACTTTTCCAAGATGAAATTACCGCATAATCTTTTTTGAAACAAAACATTGTTTTCTAACAGTGAATAAATACTGAATGCCGCTTTAATTCAAGCAACGCGAGTCTTGTCCATTACATAGTTCTATTACTGCTGCATATTCAATATCAATTTATATGTTTGTAAAGAAGGATCGTATAATAGTTTGCTTAAATTGGTCATTGAATTCTTTTTAGCATAATGGTTATCATTTATTGGAAATCATTGAGAGCCTATAAAACTTTCTAAACGAACGCGTTGACAATAGAAAGTGGTCTCCAAAAAATGTTTTGTAACGCTCATCAGAGCGAAATGTAAACTCGAGTGGAACGGACGCTGTGATGAACGGTACTATTATTGGTAAAATTGTATCTGAGAGGAAATACTTACTGAGCTAAATTTAGAAAAGTTAATTTGTGGATGTTGAACTATGAAAATACTTGTTGAACATAAAGCATTTCCAGTATTCTTATTGCTTTGCATATGCTTGGTTTTCTTACAAACAATTTATCTGAATAAAAAAAGAGACAATGATTTGCTCATTCATGGAGTAAATGTTCAATCTTTCCACGATGTCCAAAACTTGAAATTACAGGATCTTGATCAAAGTACAAAGAGGAGGCTTAAAGAAAAAAGGAATATAAGTTTTTCTAAAACTCTAACACGCAGATTGCCAAACGCAATTATAATTGGAGTGAAAAAATGTGGAACGCGTGCATTAATCGAGTACCTTAGACTGAATCCAAATATTAGAGCAGCGGGACCGGAACCTCATTTCTTTGACAGATACTATCATTTGGGACTTGATTGGTACAGGTAATACGTATATGGTTGATTCGAAGAGAAATAAAAACTGCAAATGAAAACTATAAAATATAAAACTGATAAATGAATGACGAAATTTCACATAGAAAACGTCATATCTTCAAATATTTAACTCATTTTAATTTGTCAGAAATATTTTGACATATATTTCAATTTGGATTGATTTGTGTGAGAAATCGCATGAGTTCTTTTGGACTGTTAAAATTCTAAGAGCTTTTGTTTTGCCTTAAAACGACGTGTCCGCATGTAAAACTTTTACAAAGGTTACATTTTATTTCTTAAATATATCCGTCAAATGTTTTGAAAGAAGTACAAGTTGATATATTCAAAAATATTTAAGATTGAATATAAATATTTATACTTAAAGATATACTATGCTCAAATTTTATATTTGAAAATACTGATAATTGCTAGAGAAAAAATATAAACAAATATATTTTGATTTCACACAGAGATGTCATTTTACATTAATTTAGAATTTTACACCTTATCAGTTAACACAGTCTGGATACATAGTGTCATATATAAAAACGTGGCTGTGTTTTAATAATGCAATTTACCAAACATGGTGTATGCATTTCCTATTGAAATAAGACCTTTCTAGTGAAAATTTCCAAGATCTTAATAAGTTTCCGCAAAAAAGTATTTACCTAGAGATGAGCAAAGTATATCGTAGGTGTATAGAATTCGAATTTCATTGTTTTTAGAGGATCTGTTTTGATGAATGACCAAGCACTATATTTTTTGGCAAAACAATGTTTCTCATTTGTATATTATACATTTTACGTGACTAAAACATAAGAATTTCAAATACATATACGCCAATATCACGCGACATTAGATCAGACCATTACGATTATATACATCTACTTGATTTTAAATCATTCATTGTAAATTACGGCGTTTATAGTAATAACTTTTAAACAAAATTTAGCTATAATATAGTCCGACAAATACATAATTAACCAAACAATTGTAATAATTATAATTGCATTATTATCAGAGTCATACCGTTATATGAAACGTAAAATGGAAATAAACAAATGGAGCTTATCCTTGAAATTGCTAAAAATCCAGCATAAATAATCAACTTTATTTGATTAGCTTTGCTTTTATCACTATAACGGCTGTAAAAGCAATGACTTTAGTGTTTACATTTACTTACATGTACATCCTTAAATTAAAGTTTGTGAATATTTCTTTGCATTTAAACAATCTAATACAATGCCCACTATTTTATCAAAACTCGTAAATCCCTGTCATGTCTGACTACTCATCATAACTGTGTAAGAACATGTTTGTCGGACTACGAAAACAACGCTTTTTTGTAACAATTAAAACGATTTTTATCCTATACAATTGGGTTAGAACAATGATAAATTAATATTTACTTGTGTGTTATAATTTTTTATTTAATTTTTTAGAATATCAATCAATAGTTTCCTGACATTTTGATTTTTCTCATGTGTTGAAAAAAGCAACATAACAGTAATAATTATGAAATCTTATCTTTGTTAATTGTTGTTATGTTTAATTTTGATCTATCATAATTATGATCATTTATCATTTATTGATGAATAATTAAACATATATCACAATTCAATGGGTATAAAGGACAAAGTAAAATGTTATCAAAACAGTATGAACACAGGTTATTTTCATCCCATGTTCGATAACATATATTTTCAGGGCCAATTTATAATACAATGTATGCAATTGTCTAATTGTAATGTATAAAATTGCATATATATCGTCTCATTTTTACTACATTACACATATTATTTCGTATATTTCTATTTTCAGGAAAAAGATGCCAAAGTCTTATGGTGGACATTTAACGATAGAGAAAACACCCAGATATTTCGTAACAAAAGAAGTGCCGGCAAGGATTTATAATATGTCAAAATCTATCAAACTTATACTTGTTGTGCGAAATCCAGTTACTCGTGCAATTTCTGATTTTACACAAGCTGTAAGTAAAGGAGAATACAACAACAATATAACATTTCAAAGCAAGGCTATACGCCGTAACGGAACAGTGAATTTATGAAATGGCCCGGGCTGTAAACATAGGTATTTTATGTAAAATCATTTAAAAACGAATGGTTAGAATTATTTTCCCCCGTAAAAGCATACAACATTGTTACGGGTGAAAGTTAAATAAAAATCCGTTGGAAGGGGAAAGAAAATAACAAATCCGGGGAGAAAAAGGAAGGGAAGAAGAGAAAGAGGTGGGAGAGAAGGAAAAAAAAGGGAAGGAGGAGGAGGGGTGGAAGGAATTAATGCTGTCCAAGCATTTCCCTACAAGTGCGGAAAGAGAATATTCCAGAAAGCTCCATTTTATATGAAATTACTTCCAGAGGCTTTCCGTGCATTAAGAAAGAAAGTGAGACACCAGGATTTAGATGTTTTCGGAATTCAAAGGGACGACCTCACTCTTATGCCGACACGAAAACATTAAAACTTTTACACAATTTCTACAAACCGTACAATATTAAATTCTTTAAAATGATAAATAAACATTTCATGTGGTAAATTGAACCAAATATTGTATAACATTTTATTAAAACATTCAGACAGAAGGCAACGCAACCACTAATTATTTATGGAAGTTTTAGATTCCTGAATTTGTCGAGAAAAATAGTTTTGCATGCTGACAAATCTTTGTTGCACTTCAAAATTGTTAAAAAATGAAAGTTTAATACCATCAGACTTTATACATTCTTTATAAGATAATGAAATGATATAACGTAGTCCACCCGAAAACGGTTTGACTTCCTAAACTATTTACAGATATATTAGTAATTCCATTGGTCATTTTAAAAGTACAAACTGAAATCAGGGAATCTTATTGTTCATTGTAAAATTTGTATAATAATATACAGTATCTTTCTGAAACGTATACACATCCAAAGTACAAAACAATCTCAAGGAGTATCGGAAACAGCTTTTTTCTTGTTGCATTTCTCGAATATTTTGATATCTGTTAATTTCCTCCCAATAAACATTTAATGATGCTTTTTAAATTTTCATTCTCTAGCAAAGAGCTTTATCAACATAAGAAATGACAGAGTTATACATTTTATTCAGTACGTTTTCTCCACAATATCGAATCTACCAATAACGCTCACGATCCCGGAAACGCACGCGCATACCGATAGTGAGAAGATGAAAACAAATCCCGACCATTTCTGGTAAATTCATAATATTACGTTCAGTGTTTATATCATATAATAATTGATGTATTCAACTGATATGAATTTCAAAATTTCGATATACATGTATTTTACATATTCATATAGCATTAATTAATGTGTACATGAACACGTAAGTGTAAGATCATACGTAAAGTACATTTACGAAATACGATAGTTCCATTTAGAAATATATCTTGCAGTGTTATAATGAATGATTTTTACAACAATTCAAAATAACCTATTTAAGTAAAAGCAGTTTTATCCTGTCCGAGTATCTTTTTAGATATACTTCTTGTTTAATATAAAACGGTATTATCATGACAAAATATCGTTATAGTTTATTATGAGACAGCGTTACTCATTTAAGATTTAAACACCTGCGTTACTAGATTTATCTAATATGCAAATTTAGAATATTGACCGGGATGTCATAAAAATATAACTTCGAAGGGTTTTCATCTTCAATATCAATATGATATTTATGATCTTGATGTATCTGCGATACTTTTTGAAAATAAATAAAAACTGTCTTATCATTCCATGTACAATTCATGTATACAGTTGCTGTTTTATCATTAAGTATTTTCGGAAAGGCGGACCATCTTTAGACAAGACAGCAGTGTTTTATCTATGAAGTAACCATCACACAAATCAAAGTTCCAGACAAGTTTAATCATACTACGGATAAATGTTTCAATATCTATTTGAACAACATGATCAAAAACAGAAATTACATAATGAAACTCATGTTTATTTATACCTCCTCCTATATTGTGTCCCTGTATAACTTAACTAAGTACACAATAAGTTTCTATTCAGATAATGAATTGACTGCCTCAGCCATGTCGAGGCCAAATAATCAGTGTATGATGCTCAATTTCTTGTTCAATCACCTTATTTAACTGATGAACAATGATTATACGCTGAAGTGTGTACAAACATTTTTATTGAAACATATTTACTCTTCCGTAAAATTGGACTTTCACTTTTATAGCATCGTAGATAATACTTAAATTGTAATTTAAGTACTCGAAATCAACATACAAATCACCAATTAAAAGCATAAACTAGAAAAAGGTTTAAAACATACAAAGTAGTTATTTATTTTGTGATGACTAGTTCAAACGTAATGTTACACATGCTAAAATAGGAGAGATACTTGACAATGAACACAAATTCGTATGATTCTATTTTATAAAATAAGATGAATGAACTTTCATCAAACTGAAAATGATAACAACTCAGTTCTTTCATTTTAGTGTGTTGAGCATGTTTTATTACTATAATGAAAGAAAATATGGTAAAGATAATTTAATAAGAAGGTTTTAAAAGCGTTGTCAATACAATCAAATAACACTGAAACTGCGTTAATGTAAGTTGATTGGTAATTGCGTTAGATTGATTGCTCATATTGATTTGAAACAAATGACTGAACGTAATTGATATAGCAAGAATCGCTATTGTACAAAGCTCCAGGACAAATGGAAAGGAAGATGAATGACACTTAAGAGCTGCTATGTAAATTTTACAGATAACACATGTATTACAAGCGTGTTATTGTTTAAGTAGAATCATGTTTGTCATCAAATTGATCGAGCATTGCATTTCCTTAATTTTGTTGGAGCACAAAGAAAATAGGAAACATTTTTATGAACTTTAAACAATATATTTCCCTTCATAAACGTATTTCATATCAAATTTCGATATTCGATGGGGATTATAATAAATTAAGCATATTACTAACGATTTTCATAATTGGAATATATATAAACATTGGTTGATATCGCTTTACATTTGAAACTTAACATTTAAAAAAACAAATCTTAAGTTATATTGATAAAGATGGCAATGTGCTTATGATATGCAATGAGAAATTTTATTCACACCAAAAACATTTATCATTTTTTGTATTCTAGTCTACAGCAAAAAGATTGAGTTCTTCGATATGAAAGATATAAAATCTTTTTTTGGAAAAAGAAACCCAAAATTTGTTGCAATGTTATTGCAAATGTTAACATGATACTTTGTGGTTTCACATGCAACCATGATTTTTCTATTTTTATATCGTAAAATGAAAACTGTGATTTGAAAACATATTTAATCGTTAAGGTCACTCAATATCTATGTCTCCCATATTATTATTAGAATATTTCTTACTTTTATATTACCAGTTTCACCATAATAATCGGGATTTCTGAACTTTTTAATTTAATTATAAGTCATGTTTTAAATTTTAAACGATTAATCCTTGAATCCCAACGAATTGTCTGGAGGGTTTGCTTACAATTGATAAATTCCTACCTTGACATTTTGTGTGAATAACCACAAACATTGGCATGTGTGCTTTTAATACAAATACGTCGTTGTGGTAGAATTCCTATTGTTAACTATTCAACTATTCATATGATTACTTGAATGCAACAGATTAGGTTATTGTAAGAACATATGCTTAAAATTCAAGAAAAACATTTTTATTTAAGCTTTCCGATTTCTTGTCAGTAAGATAATAATCATTTGTAAACCATCTAATATTTCTGATAATTTTGGTTATAATCTAAAAGCGCATACACGGCAAATTGGTGCACTGCTTTTTGAATTCTCCTTAGTAAGAAACTTTATTGTCGGAATAATATGTTCATGGTTTATTCAGTATGTCTTCCCTTTCGTCCGTATCGGATCCTTATTACACTATTTATGTCTGTCGTTTACCTAATATTCGTCATTGGGAATCTCTAACGGTAAAGTTGTATATAGAAAACATTTGGTTTTCCGAATGATATGTTTATTAAGTTTGCGTATTGGTTATCTGGGGAGTTTTTCAACCATTCAGTGAACCCATTTTGATCATTCCGATGTAAGTCAAGCCCCTCGCTCCTTCGTTTTATGTGAAGTATTTATTATTAACCTTGTACGCATTCTGTTAACATATGAACCTTACCGGCCCAAACTTAAGAATCTTATCAATTATCAACAGTATTTTTTTCTTAACATTCTGTTTATTCTTACTGATGATACTCAGTTATATCTTGTATATCCATTATGCTAAACGCCAAAAAGACATTGTGTAAATTGTGTAAATTAAAAAAATGATTTAAATTACGGACATAGCATTGCACAACAATAATGTTTCTGTTTCATTTTCCGAATTTCATATTTAAAAAAAGTAGCAACCGTCAAATGCAAGGACTTATTTGATTTTTTGTTATACTTCTTTTGTTTTCTTTTGCACGAAGTAACGTTTTGCAGTATAACTTGCTCTTGCTTTTTAAATTGTGCAAATCTTTAAGGTTTAATATAAATATGCATGAATCTGATTATCTTTTTTTAAAATTAAGAATGTGAATACGTATACGTACTCTATAGCGTCTAACGGGCAATAAATAAGAACCTAGAATCAGACTTTGAATTTGTTTACTAAAGCAAATTAATGTTACTTACAAAATCATAGCAAATATATGTAACAAAACATTTTTTATAATTAAAATATAATATTTAATATTGCATCTAAGAAAACTTCCATTCTTTACAAGAAAATACCCAAAAATAAACTATCTTCTGTGAAAATGTCAGAATGTTCTAATAAAATAAACTTACTAAATATGCTTAATGCAGTTGATTATCATCTGTAAAATAACATGTTGTTTTGTTTTTGCTCTATTTGTTTTTTGTTTTGTTTTGTTGTTGTTGTTGTCTTTTTGGTTTTTTTTGTGCAAGTTTCTATTTCGTTTACATTACAATATTTTTAGTTAATTTCACTGATGTTTTAAGGTCTTCTCTTTATACATGACAGACTTAAATGTAATATTCATTTTGAATTCATGCGTATAGACTGGGTTTAAGAACATGTAATTGT